AAAATTTTTCAGATGAAATATTTTCTCTACAACATGGATAAAGGATTTTAGCTGCACTGTCACGCTGTGTGTTCATCAATTTATAAATCTCAAGACCTGGGCACATGCTGAATTTCCAACTTATCATTCGAGGCTGCCATACTGACAGGCCATCAGGCATCGCACCAACTCTCCCATCCAAGAAACTTTCAGCAGCTACTGGAATTTTTGACCAGCATGGTACCTCATAAAGAAAAGAAACTGGAGGTTTTGAACAACCATCCTGCCAGGAAATGTTGCAGACAGAGGAAGAGAGACAATCACCTCCTGGATGGAAAAGCAGAGCTGTACTAACGCTGCACGAAGCCGGACAAAGCTCAGAACACCGGGACAATCCACGTTCTCCCATTATTAATTTATTACATTATTTCACTACTGTTCTTGGCTCTTTTCAAGCTCCATACAGTTCAACATAACTCTGTGCAACCTAAGGATTTGTCATTCATTCTGCTAGTTCTGAAACCTTCCGACAGCCTTTCTTCCAAAAAAGAAATTTTTAAAACTCATTAACACTGTATCTTTGTAGGTAATCCTGACAACCACGTATTTTTAAGCAGCAGCCACTACACATTGAGAAAATACTTTCTAAAACTCTTCTTTGTTTGATTTTTTTTTTCCCCCCTCAAAGAAATTGAGATTTAACATCATGCCGTTCCTCCAATTCCAGCTAGTGCTTTGCACTCTTAGGACCAAACCTGATGAAACAAACCAGGTCTGAGAGATATTAAACACTTGTTAATGTACGTGGCTGGGGTAAGGACAAGCCCAAATGCCACATCCCACTAACAGAAAGGTCTCATCCATTACCTGAGAGCAGCGAGCTCCAGCAGTCACACACGCTGCTGTCATGGGAACAGCATGGAAGACTCCAAAACCCCACTGCACGGAGCATCATGGACCACACAGGAAACACGAGGTTTGTCCAGTGAAAAGGTAGAGGACACAGGACAAACTTATTGGAATCTACCTTTGTTTAGTTCTGCTTTTCATGTGCTGATTTATCGAAATACAGCAGCTACAAGTCTTCCCATATTGCTTATGTTCTATCGCTGTTTCCTCCGAAACAGTTTATGTCTCATAAATTCTGAATTACTTCCTCTCCAAAGAAGTTTTCTCCTGTTAGTTTTTGCTGTAGCTTAAAATTCTTACCTGGAGATCTAAGTTAGCCTATTGTTCTTTTGTATCTCAACTGCTTATACAAATCATTCACTACACAGCACCACGTCCCCTTTATTTCCTTCCTTATCTGCACTGCAATTAGCTAGCATATAATGAAGTACGTAACAGCAGATCAGAGCAAACAATAAGAACAAAAGAACTGAGAACACAATCCAGCTTTCATGAAGATGTACTTACACAAAACACCAAGAGGAGACAATACTGTAATTTCCCAATTCAATGTTTCCCAGTTTTCCAAGAAAAATCAGCAAGCCTTCAAAATCACATACCCGGAAAAGGATGTTGGAAGAATTCCACACATATCACTCCTCGTGTGTTTAACAGAGAGACAGAAAGCAGAATGAGACTCTAAAAGGCACTGCGTTTCTGTCCTGGGAGCTAACAACATAGGGTGGTTCCTGATTTATTACAAACCTCCTTGAAAACTTCTGCTTCATTTCCCTAATAAGAATTTTTAAAACTTGGACACAACAGTGTGGCACAAAAAAAAGTTATGAGTTATGCCAATAAATCAACGTGTTAAGTATATTAGAAAAGACAACTTATCACTGAACATAAATCTGACAACTGTTACAAAGTGAGACTCCTGCCTCCCTGCTGCAGCTACATGGATAGATTATCACTCCATCTTGGCAGCAGCCAGCCCAAAATTCCACGTCGTGGTCATCGGGCCGTAGTGTGCAGCTGTGAATTCACCTGGTGCGCTGCAACTACGCAATTCCACCACAAGATGACACGGAGGAAAGCTTCGCTGCCCGAGGTGTCCTGGTTTCACCACGTGATGGCCTAAGCATATTACAAACTGACAAGTCTTAGGAGATTGATTTAATTTGGAAAGCCCAAAGATCACAAAGCAATCAGACTGTGTGAATTTAGGAGGCACACACTTTACTGTGTGCACTGCATTATGTTAAATTTGCACCGAATCAATACAAGCAACGAAATTACCAGAAAAACTGTACACAAAATTCACTATAGAGTGGAAGAGAAAAGATCACAAACATGCTTCGGTGTTTATCAAAAAAAGAATGACAGTGGTTTACTGGCAGCGTAGCACCACCTGGCTGACGTGCTAGTGCTAATTATGTTTTTGTTGAGTGGCAAACCCAGTTAATACCGTACTGGCAGAAGAAGGAGGTTTAAGAATCTCATAAAGATGCAGAATGTGCAAATCACTATCCAAAATATTAACTCTTGTTGGCAGCTCTCCACTGCCATCTGCAACGTAAGGGGAAGAGGGAACAACACAGAGTTGATACAACAGAAGAGTCCATGCAGGTTTTGACTGGAAATAATCAACGAGCCATAAAGGTTTTTGTGAATGGGAGACGGGGAATCCAGCGAAACATTCTACCACTGTGAAACCAAGATGTTACTAATGCCAAGTTAAACACACAACACCCCTAACTGGTTTCTTCTGAGTCACACAGGCCACAGACTACTAAAAGAACAAAAAACCCTCAGTGCTTCATTGGCAAGATGCACCTGATAACGTGCAACTTCATACCAACACTAACAAATATTTGGAGCAGAGAATTTTAGTCTTCAAGGCTTCTACCTAAATTATGTTCAGAGTGTGTGAGCAGCTCATCATCTGTCATCATAAATTTGGACACCCAAAACAAAGCACTAAACATCAGGCTCACCATTAACACACAGGATAGAATTCCAATGGTTACGGAGATTTTAAAAAAAATAACCACCCCAGGTCTGACAAATCCCACGAGAAACTCAAAATAGTACAATTTACAGAGGAAAGCATTCACGGAAGATGAATTAATAGATTCCCAAAAGGGTCATGTATTTCTGAAAATGTTTTTAAAGCCTTTTGTGCACAAACCACAGTAAGAAGTTCAACTTATGCACAAGAACTTGAATATCTCTAATATAATGATCCAAAAAAATTAACAACAGCTTTGAAGAAGGTTCCTTGAGAAATAATTATTGATAAAGAGTATCTAGTGAAAACACTGGTGTAATATTCCAGTTACTTGCTCTATGATCCGAATAGTTATTCCATGTACTTTATTTCTTTTGATAGAGAACTTAGCCATAACTGACCCCTTCAAAGTATGATTGGGAAGCCTTCAAAAGCATGGGTAAATGTAGACACAGCACCTATTTTAAAGAAAAATATAATGGAAAACGGGAAAAGAAGGAAGCCCAATGGTCTGGATTTTTGTCACCAGCACAAAACCAAAGCCTAATAAAGGAATTGTGAACTGGAATCCAAACATTACATTTGGACATCTAAAAAGGAAAGTTACTGTGGAGAAGTTTGAAGACATCAGCTGTTCCTAACTGGACAGGTAACTTACAGCAAAAGGAGCAGAGAGTACTCAAACTCTTGAACTTTTAAACCAGAGATCAAGAAACACATTAGGTTCTGCATCATTTCAGATTGTAAATACAAATAAGGTATATTTTACACAGATTAGACCACATTCATCAGAAGTATGATGAATACCTCAACAAGCAATTGTGAGGTAACTGCACCATGCACCAGGCACAGCTACACAAGCAGAGTGTATCCCCCTCACACAACATCTCCAACTCCGAACCCTTATGGGAGTAAGGTTGTGGTCCATCTTGTTTCATAAATGCATGAACTGGAAATACCATAATAAATTAAACAATGCAATTATGACCTTGAGATACATTTCTTAACTTAAAACACCTATTATAAAAATAGCAATACTGAAAGTAAAGGAAAAAAATACAGCAAGAAGCAAATAGCGGCCTGGTAGAACAAGTCTAAAGGTGGTGGTGGGGTTTTTTTTTCCCCTCTTACCTCACATGGATGAGTCCCACCACATAAAGCAATGAACTATTACTTCCTACAGAACCCTGGAGTAGTGCACCTGAAACACTGCACCGAGTACAACATACCAAAAATAAATTCAAAATAATTTTCAGATATTGACAAAGTTCAGAGAGGTGATGAAAAAGATCAGGAGATGGAAAAAACAACTGACAAAAGATGAATTAAGTTGGTATACCTTGACTGTAATGGTATGACATGTGAAAGTTGCCTACACATCTTTGTAATGAAGAACAGAAAGCAATTATTTAGAGAAGTATTACAAGTTTTTTAGCTATAAAAATGTAAATGAGGAGGGAAAAGTTGTTAGACAAAAGAGTATTTTGCTAAGCATGTTGCTCTGGCTGGAATCATCTCCATGGTAAAGTGATAGGTATATCAATATTTAAATATTTAAAACCATTTCAGGCAACTTGCACCTAAAGGTATTGCAGGTCAAACCTGCTCTTTCATCAAAGTGGATCAGATTATTTAGCAGATTTTCCATCTCCAACTTCTAACCCCAAAATAAGCACAGATATTACTCTAGCAAGAGCCTTTAGAAAACAAGGACATAAACCAAACTCCATTGTTTTTCTGATGAATAGAAGTAAAATGAGAAGTAATTAGAACGATGATGAACTCATTAACGCGAAACAGCTACATAAATAAAAGTAAAGCAAGTGTAAAAAATCTGTCTAAAACAGCTGATGAGACTTTTCCAGAGGATGGATGAATCAGCCTGGCTTAAGTCAAAATGAAACGTGGAAACAGTTGCAAACTGTCTGTGGCCCAGCGTCTCATTCTAAATAACATCATGAAACTGGTACAAAAACTACCTACCAGACAAATTAATTCTCCATTCCTAAGCAGCACACCAAGCTCTTGACAGCCATACAGAAAAGTGCAGAACCAGAGGCCAAAGAAAGGGATTTACGTTATTTTAAGATGCACATGGATGAGGAATCTGCTCTTCTCTTACCATCGTACTTTGTTGCACGTCTGCGTGGCGCCAAGAGGAGAACCTGCCACCATGGGCACCTGGATGGGGCTGTGCTGTTTGTTCATGACCAGATCCAGCTTCTCCTCCAGTGATTTACAGGTCGCCTCTAGTGCCAGCAGCTTTGCCTCAATGCTATCCAACCGCAGGCATATTGTCTGATTAATGGAATACAGGAATGACTGGAAAAGGGAGAATGCAAAAAAAAAAAAAAATTATTTTAAAGACTTACACATTTATCTTCAGCAACATACACGTAAGGAAGCTCCGGATAAATGTGACTGGAAAACAATTCTGAAGGAAGTAGCAGTGTGCCTAGTGACAAAATCCAGCCACATGCAAAACTGATGACATCCAGGAGCATTTTAGCATTCTCAGATTCTTCCAGATCTTTCTTTAGAAGCCAAAAGCATCTGAGCCCAACACATTTTCACCTAAGCACTTTGTTAGGGTGATTTCATACACCGCAAAATCATCTGAAATGACATGCCAAAGCCTTTCATTCAATACATGTAAAAACAAAAGGATTATAAATCTATGGACCCATCATCCTGGTTAAAGTTAAGTAAGATTTTTTCTCCTGCCCAAACAGATAAATTCAGATGATTACAGTGGAAATTGTATCAACACAAATAACCTCGGAGACAATTAATGCCGCTCACTTCAGTTTTCTCCTGAACAGCAAATCAAGAAAAGCAAATAAATAAAATCTGGTTTCCTAAGCAATTTTATCCAAAAGAAAGCCTATTCTACTTGGATTCTCTTGGGGAAAATAGGTCGTTAAAGGGTAACGTTAGACACATTTTTCTTCACAAACAGCAACTGTGCCATCTGGTGGCCCTCTGTCACAACTGACACACCTAATCACACTGGTTTGCAGTGCTGCTCCCCCAGTGCTCTTCCAGCACAGAGCTCCAGTTTCTATCATAATTTCAAAAACACAGAATTACAAATATTTAACGTGTGGGGCAGTAAAACACTACTCGTACACTTGTGCTCCACTGCTCCCCCAGTGCTCTTCCAGCACAGAGCTTCAGTTTCTATCATAATTTCAAAACCACAGAATTACACATATTTAACGTGTGGGGCAGTAAAACACTATTCCTACACTTGTGCTCCGAGACAAAAACCTCACCTAAATCAAGCACATCAGTGAGAACAGCAGGGGAAGTTCTGCAAATACGGAAAAGCCAGAACCAAACATGGCTCAACTAGAACAACGCTGTTAGCTTAAAATACTAATTTAAAACACACTGAAATATCTACGAATTCTGATGCAAATACGTGCTCAAGTTTATCTTTTAGGTCAACTTCATTCACTTTATCAAAAAAATGTACCAAGAGCGATGTTTTGAGTCACTGGAATTGCTCAAGTTTATCTTTTAGGTCAACTTCATTTCACTTTATCAAAAAAATGTACCAAGAGCGATGTTTTGAGTCACTGGAATGAATTCTGATAACATTTTATATCACGTAAAATTCTCGCTACTGATTTTACACTGGAAGATTAGCCAGTCATCCAGATATTCAAATTTATGCACAAAAATGAACAAACATTTACAAGAGGCTACGAATAATTCCAGTATTATGTATAAACAGTTTATTTTACATTCTTTTCTTTCAATATATTTTCCCAAGAAAGCTCACTTAATTGGAATTATGAACAAAACCAGAAAAAGGCATTATCGTAACCTTAATTGAGGGATCCTGGCAGTTAATTTCTATACGCTGACGTTTCAGAGCAGGCTCTACATCATCATCTGTCACTTCATGATTCTCCAACACAACTGCAAAGAAAAATAAACATTCCCATGGTTTATAACACAAGAGGACAAGGCCCAAATTGAAAATACATTAAATGGATAAACCATAAAAAATATAAAAGGTATTTAATTAACAACATACTGTATGAATCCTTTAGCACTTACTTAGGTTTTCTCTTAAATATACAACAGTGGTTTACTACTCAAAAAACATTTATCCAAAACTAAGATTGTTTCAAATGCACTGAGGATGCAACACTCAGGCTCTACTTTGGAATTTTTTATTAGGAACTTGCCACAAGGTAGCAGAATTGCCACAGCTGTTCTGCTTCCACAGATTGTACAGGCTTCTGAACTCTCACATTAACACGAAACCGTAAAAAATACTCATGAATTTCTGTACAAAAGACAGGATTACCCCCACTACGCGGTGTAGCAGCGGGTCAGAATTTCAACAATGTATGAGAGAAACTATTTTACAAGTAAAACAGCAATCCATCATAGATGGGCGATAGTCCTCATTTGAGGGAAAGCCTAAAACACATATTTTGTCTGGACAAAAACAAAATATTGCAGGAGGCCATATTTCATTCAAAGTTTTTGGCATTAGCCTACCTCTGCACAAAAAAGCCCCAGGCAATAAAGCCTTTAAAAGAAAAGTAAAATAAAAAAAAAAAATCTGATCTAAAGGGTATTGAAGATATACAAGTCCAGTTATTGAAAACTTGGTGTGCAGTCTTAACAAGCAGCTCAGGAGAAAAAAAACACACACCTGGAACTGTTTTATATTTTTAAGAAAAGCTGAAGAGGGATTTCCACCTTGTTAGTGGGCAATACTGTAAATGATCCTTCTCACGCCATCACCACCGTCCCCACTGTACCTGGGTTGTCTGGAGTCAGGTCTTCAACAGCAATCTGAACAACATCTGCCAAGTCCTGTTCTGACATCATTCAGAACCAGGCAGCAACACCCAGTCAAACACCACTGCAGGCCACCAAGTAAGTAATTTTACGTGTCATGCAATCCTGAAAAACAGCAGGAAGAAGAGCGTTAAATACAGATAGGCTTGATATATCAATACTGCCTTTATTTTTTCATTTTTTCCTCTATAAAAGGAGATACAGTTGCTAACATAAGTGACCAGTCTACCAAACGATCCCCCCATGGTATCAACTGCTCCTTTCTTTAGTAGCCTCACCAAAGAGCCAAGGACTGATCGACCCGCATCACCTCTCCTTGCTGATCCACCTTTCTGCATTTTCTCAATGGATAAAGAGAATATTTAGCTTCAGAGATTTGGCAGTTCATTGGTATAAAATACAAAATAAAACGTTTTCTTTTAATTTTTTTTTTTTTTGTTTAGAAGTTTTAAGAGAACACAAGACCATTCCTAAATTGCAGGGGGTTGATTTTCAAAGTCTTACTTAGCTCTTGGAAGTGATCAGATGTCAGAATTTAGTCTTGATGTCACAAAAGCACATAAAGCTCCTGAGCTACATTTGCAATTACTGCATTCTGTACAGATCTTTACTCACAGTCGATCCTTACATGGATGAATTCAACAGGCCTCTGAAATCTTCAAAAACACCGTGAGAACACGGAGCTGCCTCTCAGCTAATTACAACTAGACGTGAAGCAAAATTTGCCATTTTTCCTTGGCTATTGAACTTGCCTGGTTTTTCTACAGCTCAATTCTGATGAAACTATTTTCAGAATATGGATCTGATATCTGATTTTAAAGCCAAAATATTTTTCAGCCCTGCTCCCCTGGAATTCTCTGTCAAGGTTATTTATTAGTATTTTAAGAGAGACCTTCAACCCGTAAAACTGAAATAAAATCACCGGAACCATTCATCTCTGTGCTTTCCCACAGTTTACAAAAGGATGGACAATGAATCCCAAGAGACCAGCCATTTTTTAACCTGAAGCAAAAAACACTAGAGAGAGAATTCGAGGTTTACCAATGGAAACGGTAATTCACCCCTTAACAGTGACATTAAATCAAATCCAACTTTGCACAAAGATTTTCTTCTTTCCCTCTTGCACCTGAGCAAGAGAAAGCCACAAAGCCAGACAGGTGGAGCACAAATTTTGTAAGAGAGCAACACAACCTACAGAAGGATGCTGAGATGGGCCGGAGGAAGCCCTGCGCGCGGTGAAAGCCCATCTCAAAAGGAGGACTCCCCACACATCCCAGTTGTTTACTCAAAATACCAGCACGGCCAACACTGAGTCATTTGAAATTCTGATCGTGGTGACAAACTCTTGGGACAGCACAGACCGTGGCAGCACGCCCGAAAAACCTGGCAATGCCTGAGTGCATATGGATGCCATTTTGGCAAATTGTATTTGCCATTTCTGAGAAATCCTGGTAAGCTGCCAGGCTTCACATCATAAGCCAGCTGTGTTTCTGTTTCATAATGTTACGTACTGCTGGCAGTGCTAACAACCCTGCCCTCAACTTGGAGGAAGACACTCGCCACTCCAAATACTAAAAAAGGACAAATCAGAACAAAAGGCAACTTTTAAAACTTTGTCTATTGATTCAAGGTTTCACCAATACGTCACGTATTGCATTTAAACCAGCTATAGCTATGAATATGTCAGTATTTTATAGAACATTCCAAAGGATCTGCAATGCTTTCATTTAAATCCACTTTACTTCATGTGATGCAGATATTTAGTCTTCCAAAATTCATTATAAAAAAATCACTGGAATTAATTAAACCTTTCTTAAACACAAACAAAATATAATTTCACACTTGTGACACCCGTCCTCCACCTCTCGTGGGTCAGTCTGAAAGCTTTCAACCTCACACCGGAAAAGAAGGACCAAAATTTCGTGTCACAGAGCCTTGAAACAAGGGCACAACCACCAAGCCACGACTGGCAGAACAGCTACTGCACACACACAGTGAGGTGTCTTCAGAACATTAGTATTTATTTCCATTTAAACACATTTTATTACGATTTCAGTAAGTCAGACCCAGCTCACGGGCAATTAGCCAACATCCCGAGGGAACACATTTTCACGTTCTCAACGAGCCGAACAAAATATACGTCTGCTGTCACCAGGAGTGAGCTCCTGTATCAAAACATAAGGGGAAAGTAAATAAATCCATTATTAACGCTGGATGTGTGGTTTAGGAAAGCAATACCCAAGTAAGCTACACTGGGCACTGCAACCACACAGCAGCTACCACGACTTGAACAAAATGCCCCTCTTCCAAATTCAGAATTTCAATTTACAACAGAAAATTGTAGCCATGGTCTAACCTTGCTTTCAGAAGCAAGGGTAAAAGCCCGATAAAATTGAACAGGATTACTGTTAGATTAGTTTGTCAGCTTTAAAAAGCCTCTGTCAACAAATTCAGAAAAACTTTGCCAATACAGTTTCCACATATTCTACTCAGCAAAGAATTTACCAGCATTTCCTCACGTAAAACACTTCTTTTCTTGAAATGTGCTATATGTTCCCAGCCTTCTCTCTTTACCTCCTTCCTTTCTTCTGGCTGAAACCACAGTCCCCATTAATCCTAAATTAAGTATATGTACATTGGCATGGAGAAGCCAATGCTGAAATACTACTTGGAACAAATATTAAGCTGTAGGAAAGAAATAATAACAGAAAGTCAGGAAGCCGAGGAGAAACTACAACAGGGTCATGGAACGTGCCCACTTTCTTCTCCCCAAGCAGCACGTGGCAGTTGGATCAGAGTAATATTTTACAGTCAGTTTGCCATTATCTGGGAGAGGGTACGAGGTCCAGACAATGGAAAACATCCCATTAGTGCTACAGGAAGCCTTGACCTGCCAAACTCAAACCGACTGCAGCTGAGCTGTTTGGGGGGATCTACACTTCTCCGGGGGCTGGAAGGGACTCCCTCAACTCCCACCCAGCGCAAAGACTGAAAAACAGGTTATGGTGCGTAGCAGGAGGATTTCCTCCCACCTTCACTCCCACTTCAGCCCTGAGTCTTCAAATCTGTTGCCTCCAACGTTTCCAACCCTTCGGACCTCTTGCAGCAGGTAGCCAGTTCGCAGATCAGCTGTTACTGTCCACCCTTTCCCCATCCCAGCGGGAATCCTTTCCTAAGGAACCCACCAGGAACCTATTCCTGTTGTATAAAGCAGCACAAACTAAAAATTGTCTCGTGTTTTAATCACAGTGACTAATGGAAATACTCATACATAGCAAACATACTGCACTAGTTCCTTCTTACCTCCCAAAGGAAAAACATTTTTCAAAATCTGAGAAAACAGCCCTAAGATTCCAAGACAGAACAAGCACCAGTGTGGAGTAACAGAATTAAATCGTCCAATAACAAATAGAGTCTATTTCATCACCCATTAAAACTTTAAAATATTAATTTTTCTATGTATGTATTATGAGTAGAAAATAAAGACGAACACTCCTCCCTGTTCCTGGCTTTTCATATCCAGAAAAAAAGCCAAAAAAGGGGCTCGAAAAGCCTCGAGCATTCCTACAACTGCTTGCTAGGAGGTGGCTCTAGTACGGGAACACTCAGAAAAACTAATCGGGGACAACTAAAGGTATAAATTTAAAGCAGATTAGATAAAGGGCACTAAATATGTCTGCCAATACTCTTACTCAGAACTGACACACTTAACACAGAATTAAAGTAGCCTTTGCTTAATTAAGTAAATTAATATTTGTAAGCAGCTAAATTAAATTCACCTGAATTCCAGTTTAGTTTTTACACACACAAGTTTAATGCAATTTAATTAATCTATTTTAAAACATTAATTCAGAGTAATTCTTCTGAGCAGTCCCTTGTAAACAAACCTATGTACTGAAATATCTGATGGCTTTACAAAGTCATCATCCAAAGTCGATAATCAAAAACATCCAAAACCTTGTTAACATATAAAAACAGGCACAAAACATAAATCTTCTCTCTCATACTGATTAGGGTAAACACTCTATTAAAAAAAAACAAACAAACAAACAAAAAAAAAACCCACCAATTTCCAAAGCTCTAGTCTGCTAGACTAGTGTTTAATTGAACTTCTTATTTGAACTATTGATAAATGGATAGCTCCACAGTGCTATTGATAAATGACAAAACTTCTCTCATACTTCCATTTGAAAAAATTTACAACAAAAATTTACTTCTGATTGTGTAGAAAAAAAGCTGAAGGATGTCATTTTATTTCACCCGACCCAAAAGCTTCAAATGTTTTTCATTGCATTCCTCCTTTCAATTAATTAAGGCAAATTTTCAAATACGGCATTTATTTTACAAATACGTGTTCTTCTTTATAAACCCACTATTAGGCAATTGGCCCACTTTTCTGAGTGAACATCTACCAGGAATGGGACAAGCAAAGGTCCTTATCTTGCAAAGAGCTGGGATTTGCTGACACTTGGGAAAGTTTTCCAAACCAGCTGGACTACAAAGGTGAACATAACGGTGAGAATATATATTATACACGCACACAAGTGCATTAATCCTCTGTGAGGACAACCTTGTGCAGAAGTAAAATGACCTTATGCTGTCAAGGGATTATATTATAATACTCATTAACTCTACTGCTTTAGTTAAGCCAGTTCAACTTCCTCAAGTTCTTGTCCCTTCAGGGAAACAGCCCAGAAGGGCCACTGAGCTTTAAGTCTTTGTGCAGAAAATAATCCACACCAAGAACATCTTCGTGCAGTTCAGTTTAATCCACTCTGGAAGCAAATTATGCAAAACGGCTCTCCAAGTACGAAACAAAATCTTTCAGGCAAAGTCTTAATGAAGAACAAGCAGTGTGCTCAGGTTACAACCCTGGCTAACCTGGCAATGGATCTCACAGAATGGTTTGGGTTGGGAGGGACCTCAAAGATAATCCAGTTCCAACCCCTCTGCCATGGGCAGGGACACCTTCCACTGCACGAGGTTGCTCAAGGCCTCATCCAATCTGGCCTTGAACACTTCCAGGGATG